ACTGACCCCCTGTAGACTGATCTACCGATTCCTTTACACTATCCTGCTGACCTCCCATCTTTTGCTCTGCTGACCCCCTGTACACTGCCTTGCTGACCCCCTGTACACTGATTGCTGATCCCCTGTACGCTGCCCTGCTGACCCCTGTACACTGCTCTTCAGACTAAAGATCTGTCAGGAATGGACTCAGCACTGGTGGTGGGACTCGCCTGCCGTGTGGGCTGCAGTACCAGAGCTGACCAGCGGGTGCTCTCAGCACTGGTGGTGGGACTCACCTGCCGTGTGGGCTGCAGTACTAGAGCTGACCAGCGGGTGCTCTTAGCAGCCAGAAGCTCACAATCAGCCAAACCTGGGGCTGATTGTAGAAAGGTGTATATAAGGCATGACCAGGCCTGTGCTCTGGGCCTTGGTGTATGTTTTCCCATGAGCCTCTGTACCTGGTATCCTGTGTTCCTGCTTCGTTGCTGACCTGGCTTGATTCTGACCTCTGCTGACCGTCTCCTGTTGAACCCCTGGCTTGCCTGACCATCCTTCTGCCTGATCCCCTGTACCGCGCTGTCCGTGAGTTACTGAACCCGGCTTGTGACCTTGACCATTCTCTGCCTGCTCCTTTTGGTACCTTGCTGCCCGCACGTTGCTGACTTGGCCCGTCTGACCACGCTAACTGCTCTGCCATGCACGGATCCAGCCGTACCTGCACATACCTCTGGCGGATCCCTCTACCACTAGCAGGTGTACTCAGGGGCCGCGGCCTGGTTCCTGTCTGCTCCAAGTCCATCCCCACCATCAGGGGCCCTGGTGAATAAGCAGACTGGGACTTAGACTCCGCGCCCTGGGGAATCCTGTCCTGGGGACCACTAGAGGTACCACCAAACGGTCATTACAGAACCCTACGGCCGGCCTGACCATTCCACCTCTCCAGCCCTGACTATGCCTGTGTTCCTGCACCTACTAAGATTAGTGGAAGGTTGGTTTGTTCACTGTGCATTTATATATATATATATATATATATATATATATATATATATATATATATATATATATATATATATATCTGGGTGGCTAATAATAAACTGTATTATTATACTATACCTGAAACCTGCGTTTCCCTGTGTCAGTCCACACCTTTCTGGTCATTCCTAGATTCCTGACAAGATCTCTCTACATTGCTCTACAACCTGCTGCTGCCCATATCCTCTGCCCTGCTGACCCCTGTACACTGCTCTTCAGACTAAAGATCTCTCTACATTGCTCTACAACCTGCTGCCCATATCCTCTGCCCTGCTGAACCCCTGCACACTGCTCTGCTGACTTCCCATCCTCTGTCCCCCTTGACATTTTTTACTGCACCTCCACATCAGGCTAGCTAGATCTGACCCTGTTTGTGCCCCTATCAGGGAGATTCATCATTCCACTCTGTTTGCCCTGATGACTATTGCTACTGAGACAGAGATTGATTGGAAATCCAGAATGTTAGTGTTGTCCCCAGAACAAGAGGTAAAGGGAAATCTTCTAATGGTGACACCTGTTCCAGGGACATATGTCTAATATAGGAATTTCCCTTACTTTGGGGGACATCCTGTTGTGTCTCTGAGAGAAGAGGTAAAAGGAAATCTCGCCTATGATTTACAGGCAGCAAAAAAACAAAAAAACAAAAACTGTCAGGGCTTTTAAATTTTTCTGCTCTATCCAAATTTAGGAAAAAAGTTTGGGCTATACATACACTTTAAAGTACATTTAAAGCCAGTAACAAAACTCTTATATATGTGTAGTATTGCTCAGAGTATAATGGGAGCAGCAGTCCCTGATTATCACTTTATTCTTGGGCAGTACAGCATAAGATAGATCCAGCACTGTTCCCTCTTCCCCAAGTCCTCTGCAATGGAGCACACCACTCCCCTTGTCGCTCTGGGAGATGTACTCCCCCTCTTCTTCGCAGGGCTAGGACTGTGATGCTCTATGGATTATATTCCCCAGCAGCATGAAGACTATTTCTCCTTGCTCTGTTGCAACAGCCAATCACTGTTCTCCAGGCTGCTCCACACTCTGCCGAGATGGATGTTCCCTGCATTGGAGACATTCTGCAGACAAGTATTGCAAAGTGGTCTCCCTAAAGATGGCTGCTGCACTTCTGCATTAATGAATATTCAGCTTAGCCCTGTCTACACTGCAGAAGGATAACACAGCAGCGACAAAGGAAGAAGTTCCACAGCAGTTATCAGCTACAGTCCAGGTTACATAAACTTTAAAACATTAACATGAAATTTCAAAAGTGATTTTCAATATTTTAAATTTTGTAGCTATCATTAAAATATTACCTGGCGACCTGCCATTAAGGACCTTGATCAGACACTTCCTGTTATAGAGTGACCATTATCTGCCCCTGCCTCCTTGCTTAACCACCTTGACACAATATCTCTGGGGAGAATGCAAGTGGTCAAGCCAACGCACATTGAGCAGGCATGGAAATCCCAACTCTAGAAATGTAGTCATCGCTGAAGTACATGTATGTATTCTGGAAGTAGCCACAAAGCAACTGCAGGAGATCAGCAACACAAAAATGCAAAAGATGACAAAAGAAGGCAAAAACAGGTATTTTATTTTAAACCATGTCCATTGTTTAGGATACACAGTTTTTTTAGAAAACTCAAATCTTTTATTTAGGGTTACATGTACTTTAAAGCCTATCTAAACCCCAAAAACAAATATCCAATATACTACAGGTCAGATGTGGTGGTTTCATCAGTTTTCTTGTTTAAGGTTTTTTTATTCTTTTAATATCACTCAGTGATCCTGTTAGTAACATACTTCCTGTGTTAGCCCCCATTCACATTAATGCGACTTGTCATGCAATTTGACAGTTCAAATCACATGACAAGTTGCACCCTATGATCGGCAATGGAACCATTCTAATCAGCGCAAATACAACTTCGTCAGAATCGCACCAATTTGAAAAGTAGTTCCTGCACTGCTTTTGCTGATTTCTGGTGTGACTTGCATGAAATTACACAAATGTCTTCAGGGGTGGACTGACAACTCATGGGGCCCCCCGGGCAATAGGGGATCATGGGGCCCCTGTGTCCTTGCCCAAACTCAAAAAAGCCTATGAAAAAGGTACCAGGGGCATCTCATGGGGCCCCCTACTGATCCCGGGCCTCGGGCAGTGCCCGAGTTTCCAAATGCTCAGTCTGCCCCTGGATGTCTTACAAGTCGCACCTGAAGTCGCACTGACATGCAACTTTGAAATTGTGTGAATCGAAGTGAAGTTTCAAAGTTGTATTCAGTGTGAACCAGGGCTTAGGGTTTCAACACTCATTTACTGTATTTTGTCTATGAAACAGCAATGTTGCCACCCTAGGCTGCTCTCCTGATTTGGACTACAAACACTTCCCCCTTTTCCTCATTTTATTAAATTGCATATGGAGGAGGGATTGTGCAGTTCACAGAAGATAGCTAAGAAAGCTGATAAGATTGTCTACGACTTCAGTACACAGTAAGCTACAAGGAAGCTGGAATTCTAGCAAGATCAATAGGTAATTTCTGTACTTGCACAAAATATACTTAAAAAATGCCTAAAAAAGAAAACTAATGTGGGTGCCACATTAAAGAACTGAAATGCAGCAATATAATACTTTCTTGTTCTAGATTTATTTATACTTTGAAGTAGAACCAAAAGGCAAAACTTTTTTTTTTTCATTTTGGATAAAGTCAGGGAGGGTTTTAACCCCTGTCCAGTTTTTTGGATATCTGTGTCCCATTGGGGAGATTTTCCTTCACTTCCTTTCCCATTAGCTAAAACAGGAAGAGCGCTTAAACCTGTCCAAGGTGAAAGAATCCCTAGTGATCATCGGGGTTACCAGAACGATGTCCCTATTAGAAGATTTGACCTCTATTACTGTTCTGGGGGCAACCCAAAGTTTGGATCTTTCTGTCACTTTCATTTTTGGTGATGATGGTAAACAGGTCAAATAGAGAGGGTCCGGGGCATGAACTGAAAAGAATAAAAAAAACCTGACAGTTGTGCTCTCCCTCCCCACTCTATCCAAAACCAAAAAAAAAAACACCTCACCTGTTTCTAGATCTGATGGCTGCATTAGTTTTTCTTTTTAACTTTTTTCCTTTGTTTTTGCCTGGTGATCTGGCCATACAGCTGTAATTTTTCAACTTACTTTAACAGACCAAGCTTTCCAGACAAAGCGGCAGCTAGAGAGATGAGACAAACCATTTAAAGAACATATAAACCCAACATTTTATATTCCTGACATTTGCCTGCTATACCATGTACCTGTATAAAAATGATCCCGTTCTTTTTGTATTGCTCCTTTGTATACAATTCCTGGTGTTCCTACAAGTCTGTCTGCATGTTTTACTTTTTATTGGTATTTTAAACTGTGTAGGTTGTTTTACAATGTGAGGGTTCACATATTCTTTAACACTGACTAGAGTGCTTACAGAGGTCAGATTTTACTCATTTATTTCAAACATTTAACCCAAAAGGAAAAAACTTGCTTTCTGTAACTTCTTATAAAGTGTTAGATAGGGTTCAGCTTCAGTTTGTAAGTCAAGTCCATCTAAATCTGCTAGTACATCCAGGGGTGTATTTGCCACGAGGCAAACAAGGCGTTTGCCTAGGGCGGCACTTCCCACAGAAGGGACACATAGTACAGGGACGGGCTGCTGTACCTTACCTGGGTCCGTGACTCTGTGTCCCAGTCCCACGTCGATCCAGTCCACGAGGCGCTGCTGGAGGAGGGGTAGAGAGGTTGTCAGGTCAGCAGGTCCGACGTCTTCAGTTCCCTGGATCGCGATGTGTGGGCGGGATCACGCTGGAACTGTAGCTCAGGAAAGGCACACAGGCGGCCAATCACTGGCGAGGAGGTAGAGCTTGGCGAGGAGGAGCCGAGCAGCAGCGCGAAGATCAAAGAAGATCAAGTGAGGGAGAAGGAAGACAGCTGACAGGTAAGTGTCTGTGCCTTGCAGATGATGCTGCTGCAGACAAGTATGCTGGCTGTGGGTGGGAGAGAGAGCGAGCCCAGGCTGGAGCAGGGGTCAGCAAGGTAAGTATCATTGGTGTCAGTGGGAGGAATAATGCCCCATCATTGGTGTCACTAATACCAATGATGGCACTATTCCTCCCACTGACACCAATTATGGGGCACTATTTCCCCCCCACTGACACCAACGATGGGGCACTATCCCCCCCCCACTGACACCAACGATGGGGCACTATTCCCCCCCCACTGACACCAACGATGGGGCACTATTCCTCCCCCCCACTGACACCAACGATGGGGCACTATTCCTCCCCCCAATGACACCAACGATGGGGCACTATTCCCCCCCCACTGACACCAACAATGGGGCACTATTCCGCCCCCCACACTGACACCAACAATGGGGCACTATTCCGCCCCCCACACTGACATCAATGACGGGGCACTATTCCCCCCCCCACTGACACCATTGACGGGGCACTATTCCTCCCACTGACACATTGACGGGGCACTATTCCTCCCACTGCCTCCAATGACGGGGCACTATTCCTCCCACTGACACCAATGACGGGGCACTATTCCTCCCAATGACTCCAATGACGGGGCACTATTCCTCCCAATGACTCCAATGACGGGGCACTATTCCTCCCACTGACACCAATGACGGGGTACTATTCCTCCCACTGACACCTATGACGGGGGCACTATTCCTCCCACTGACACCAATGATGGGGCACTATTCCTCCCACTGACACCAATGATGGGGCACTATTCCTCCCACTGACACCAATGATGGGGGACTATTCCTCCCACTGACACCAATGATGGGGCACTATTCCTCCCACTGCTACCAATGATGGGGTACTATTCCTCCCACTGACACCAACGATGGGACACTATTCCTCCCACTGATACTAACAATGGGGCACTATTCCTTCCCCCACTGACACCAACGATGGGTCACTATTCCTCTCACTGATACAAATGATGAGGCACTATTCCTCCCACACTGACACTAATGATGGGTCACCATCGTTGGTGTCAGTGGGAGGAATAGTGCCCCATCGTTGATGTCAGTTGGAGGATTAGTGCCCCATCATTAGTGCCAGTGTGGAGGTAATAGTACCCCATCATTGGTGTCAGTGGGAGGAGTAGTGCCCCATTGTTGGTGTCAGTTGGAGGAATAGTGCTCCATCATTGCTGTCAGTGGGACGAATAGTGCCCCATCATTGGTGTCAGTGAGAGGAATAGTGCCCCATCATTGGTGTCAGTGAGAGGAATAGTGCCCCATCATTGGTGTCAGTGAGAGGAATAGTGCCCCACCATTGTTGTCAGTGGGAGGAATAGCGCCCCATCGTTGTTGTCAGCAGGCGGAGCTCTAATAGGAAAAGGTGGAGCCTGAATAGGAAGGGGTGGGGTTTACAGATGAAGGAGTGGATCTTAAACAGGAAGGGGTGGGACACATTTAGATCGGGGGTGCCCGATTTTAGTCTTGCCTAGGGTAGCACGAAACCAAAATACACCACTGAGTACATCTAACACTATCCTCTCTCCAGACTGACAATGCTGCTGTCCAAAGGTGTCTGCTTTGCTACTTCATCCAGAATGCAACCAGTTTAAGACAGGAAGTGTCTTACTGGCAGGATCACCAGGAGAAATAAAAGAAAAAAGCTTAAAAAAGAAAACGAATGCAGCCACCACATCTAAGAATTGGTAAGATGTAATATATAGGGCAGCACAGTGGCTAAATGGTTTGCACTTCCACCTGGCAGTACTAGGGTCGTTGGTTCGAATCCCAGCCACAGCACCTCCTGCAAGGAGTTTGTATGTTCTTCCTGTGCCTGCGTGGGTTTCCTCCCACACTCCAAAAACATGCTGGTAGGTTAATTGGATCCTGTCTAAACTGGTCCTAGTATGTGTATGTATGAATGTGAGTTAGAGACTGTAAATTGTACACCCCTTGAGGGTTAGGGACTGATGTGAATGTACAATATATATGTAAAGCGCTGTGTAAATTGACGGCGCTATATAAGTACCTGTAATAAATAAATATTGCATTTTTTTTGTGGAGTTTACTTAATCTTTAAGTTTTGCAACTAGCAAACTCCAAACCTGTTATCCTTAGTTTCAAAAATATTCTACTTTTCTATCTACTTGAAGTTATTTTTTTTTACCTTTATGACAATAATTAGGGAAATAAACAAATACTTTTTCATCCTTTCTAAATCAACTGTCACTGAAACATTATTTCTAAGCTTATTTGTCCTATTTTAAGTTTTTTATGCAACCTGATTTACTATACCTTTTGTAGTTTCTTTAATCATTCCACATTACGCAGAAGGTCACAGGGATAAATATCACCCTCTTTGACAGAAGAGAGAAACAGTTGGCTGCACAAAAACACTTTTCACTTGGTAAATTCAAATCAAGTTTCATGAAAAGTGGATCACAAACATCTGCTTTCGTTATAATTATATTTCTATTTCAGCTGCAACAAGCTATTTACAGCCAAGCCTGTTCATAAGGAGCTTTATAATTAAGCAAACAGAATAAAATCTTTTTATAGGATGTAGATCTAAAGGGTGATAATCACAGCAAAATATACAGCAACAGTTACAAAATAGAACGTTTAACGCTGGATACATTGTTACTGACATGCTCAATAAAGCCTGACATTCCTTTGTTCGGCAAGGAAAGAAGATATATTTTCTGCACAAAAAGTGTAAACTTTTTAAGTATAGAGTAAAGTATAAAAAGATTGTTTTCACATTTGGGTGTTTACTATTTACATAACGAATGTAAAAGATGCACGATAAAAAAAATGTAAAATTTAAAAAAAAGAAACAAAAGCCAACTTTTGAATGGTGTTAGAAAATGACACTGAATTGTAGAAAATACCAATTTGTGAAACTGAAAATCTGTAGGTTTGTATTATTATTATTATTATAATACAGGATTTATATAGTGTCAACAGTTTGTGCAACACTTTACAATATAAAAGGGAGACAGTACAGTTACAATACAATAAAAACAAGAGTCTTAAGAGGGCTCTGCTTGTAAGAGCTTACAATCTAATAGGGTGGGGCAAGTGGTACAAAAGGTTATAGCTATAGGGGATGAGCTTATGGAAGTGATAAATGTTTATTTTGATGCATGATAGGCTTCCCTGAAGAGATGGACTTTCAGGGATCCCCTACAGACTGCTAGAGTAGGGGATAGCCGGACAGATCCAGGTTGTACAACTATTTTATTGTTGCCTTTTATATGGCCCTAAAAACACAGCATTGTTTAAACCACCTCCTGACCTGCCATTATAGTTAAATGGTGGGTGCGGCAGTTCTGAGACCATTTATAAATGTCATTGTTCTCAAAGGAGTGTGTTGACAGGTGTAGTTTGACCTCCCTGTATGGGTGGCGTTGCCAGCAGCCACCATGAAGAGAGAGTGGAGGACAGGAGAAGCTCCTAAAAGAAGGCTGCTGCACTTCTGCATTAATGAATATTCAGCTTAACCCTGTCCTCACTGAATAAGGATAATAAAACAGCAACAAAGGAAGATGTTCCGCAGCAGTTATAAGCTACAGTCCAGGTTACATAAACTTTAAAACATTAAAGAAATTTTCAATACTTTACATTTTGCAGCCTTTGATAAAATATTACCTGGTGACCTGCCATGCCCTGACCCCATCACCAGAACACAGCAGAAACACTTGGGTTTTGGGCATGAATAACCTCAGATGTCATACCAAATAATCTTAATTTTAAAGGTATTTTCTTTGTAAACAACACCTAAAAGACTTGGAAGCTGAGTCCCAGATTCTCCCCATTCAACTGTTAGGAGGACCAGGATACCACTGAATGGAAATGTGTAGCCAGATATTAGTTCAGGAGCTCTGGAGCCCCCAAACCACCTCTAGAACATAAGTTAAGTAGGACTGATTCTTGGCTGTCTTTAGTGAGGGCAGTGCTTCTTAAAAGCACTGACTCCCTGGGTTGGCGCATATTTTGCGGATAGTTAGTTCTGTTCAGGATCCCGCTGGACAAGAAGAGTGTACCTAGCGTAGGTAGAGGGTCCAGTGGAGTAGGGACAGAATAGGGACTGCTCACCATTTCTTCAGTGTGGAGCCTTCCTGCTGTTGTCTTAAAATAATGAAGTCCACACAAAAACAGTTCATAAGACAAATCTGTTGTCTTATATCAGTGATGGAGGACGTATGACCAGTGGATATTTATATATTTACTTTTCCAATAGTCCTTTTCCAGAGAGATGCATTTATTCAGATAAAGGTATTCGTTATAGATGACAGAAATCCAGATGAATGCTTGTAAATATTACAATAAACAACAGCCCTCAAAGTCCCATTCAAGATACTTCATATCAAGCATAGGGATACTACACCGTCCAGCATATGTCTGATCTATAATATACACCTAGGTAGCTTCCATGCATGGAATAATGTGAGTTATGATCTATACCTGTGCTCCCATATTAATGACAGGAAGAAAACTCCTTTTCCAGCGGAGGTACAGACAAGTAAGATGACAGTCAATCATTAGAGAACCTTCCTGAGTCCTGTCACCTGTGCTCTGTCACACGTATCCTCACCTGTGCTCTGTCCCAGGTATCCTGAATTGTGCTCTCATCCCTTTGTTCTGTGACCTGAGTTAATATACACATTTTCCCCATTCAGTACAATGGCAAGCACTTGTGTCTAGACATGAATATTTAAGACTTTTCCAAATCTATTTGCAAATAACCTGCTCTTAAACTTCCCCTGACTCTCCATATATTTACCCAAAACCAGGTTAACCAACACAACAAAGGTAAGGTAATTACCTTCTGCATACATTAACATAGTAAGGAGTCCTTTTGGTGTGTAAAGTGGTCTTATCACTGGCCTGTCCAGAATGAACAGTATGTGTTTCAATATTATATATATATATATATATATATATATATATATATATATTACACACAATATACTACACCTGCTACAAACACCTTGTTGAAATGCTGCTTGCTAGGCACTTCCTCTGCCAGGTGCTGTTGGCATTGTCATCCTCTTTAAGGGCTGAATAGTGTACTGTGAGTGTTCTCACCAGTTCGGTGCTACCATATAGACTCTGTTACTGTGTCCTTGGAGCTACTACATTATACTTTGTTGCCATCTCGTATCTCTGTGTGTCCTTCTTCCCCCAGGGGTACCCAGTAAAGGGCCCCTGCCTACCAGTTCATGTGTAGGTGTGCCTACAGTGCCTATGATCTCACCATTGTTAGACAGCAGAGATTAGGTATTTGCTCCAGATCTGGTCCCAAAACATGTTCAGACTGAAATGTGCTTGTTTGGGCATTTGTCTGAACCTCAGACTTTCAACCTGTCCAGTTGGAGTCAAACATCATAAATAAAAGTGTGTTTTTTCCTGTTACTATCTATAACAGCTTCCTTCTTCAGCTGTCAAGGTTGGTATAGGAAGAAACAGTGGCAGGCACACACTGGGGTTTGTTATAATAAAGGTAAATAGGCTGTGCACTTGGAAGTACACTGCAAGTGCACTGAAAGTGCAGTTGCTCTAGATCTGCGGGGAGCGTGCAAGGAAAATAAAAAAAACAGCATTTTGCTTGCACATGATTGGATGAAAGAAACCAGCTGAGCTTCCCCTCATTTCGGAGCTTCCCCTCAGGTCTAAAGCAACTGCACTTGCAGTGCACAGCCTATTTGCCTTTAGTAAATTAACCCCATTGCGTCCTTAGCAACTGTTGACATCATTTATTAACTGGCTGATAATCCCTGACCATGTAAACAAAGCAGGCAAACAAAACCGTGTAGGGCTTTTCCCAAAAAATCATACCAGGCTCTTCAAGTCTAATATGGATTTTAAGGGGGAACCCCAAGAAAAAATCATGAAAAAAGAGTGAGCCCCTCTAAGATCTACAACAGACCCTTGTCCAAGCATGCAGCCTGTCAGGCCAGGAAAGGGGGGATAAGCATGTGCTCCCCTGCTGAACCATAACAGGCCACATACCTTAAGCATGGGGGGACCCCATGGCAAAGTACCTTGTCCCCATGTTGATGGTGGTTAAGCGGATCTGTGAGCAGAAAGCTTATTGGAATCTGGAAGCCTCCTTTAGCAACAATACATTATACCCCTCCCATTTTACAAAAAAGACACAGTAAACGCACACTCAGT